GACGTGTTACCAGAGTCACGTGATTACCGCTGTCGTAACATTATTATTATTTGCTTGCATGTGTAATTACAGGTAATCATTATCCCTAACTCTTCAAGATGAAGAACAGTCTAACAGTATTACTATCATATTTTATTCTGTAATACTGGTATAAGAATTTAACATTCTGCTCACCATCAAGAGTTTTATCTAAATCTATTATGTTATGAAATGTATAAAACTTTAAATATTAGGTAAACATAAGATTGTGTTCTTATTCTATTCGTTAAACTAATTTCTATATTAATAATCATAAGATTATGTGCCCCTTCTTTTTACTTTGCAGTTTGAATTAATTAACGAGAATGTGAAAACATTCGAGTAGAAATTATGATAATAATAGTTAGAAATAGTAAATATTTATGTTTCTCGGGGTCATCAATTAAACTTTCATTAAATCTTGTAAGATGTCATTTTACAAAATAAACAGAAAACTCTACTTCATGCATCGTCAACTACGTTTTGCAACAGGCAGAAATAACTAAAACCAAAACACTGTAAAAACTGCCAGTAACTTATTACTTGACGACCAACATACCTTATGCAGTTTTTTTAAAAGTAATATATTCCATGTAATTTTATCCACTGCTATTATTGAGAGAGCTGAAGGTTTATTTATTACTTGGTAAATACAATAAAAGCTTGCTTGAGTGGGGAGTCCAACATCAAGGAAAGAAAGTAGACCCTGACTTAATTAATGTGGGGTCGTTGCTCTATGGCTGCCAAACTAAATGCAGGCTTCCATGTATTAAACGCTAGTACATCTATCATATCGTGAAGCTATGTGGAATTGATTATTCGATAACATAAATTTATCTGTAATTTAAACAATATACATAGCCTTTCGACTTAGATGTGTTCCTTTCCTAGCCGATCTGATGAGCTCTGGTAATAAACGAAATGCCTCGTCGTTGTCAGTGGTATGCATCTTGTGCGTTCGAGTTGCTAGTATGTCATTAAGAAACGATTTGTACAAAAATATTCTAGGCCTTGTCCTGATGTAACGTCAAACAAACAACCTATCAATACATGAAGCTTCGCCAGCATAAGGCGTTATGTACAGTGTACTACAATAATTAAAAATCATCATCAGTTTAAGTCTGCTTAATAGAAAATGGGTATTGAAAGTGACCACCTGACATGTACAACTTTTTTTATGAAATAATTCAGCGCATTAGAAACGTGTACTTAACTTAATGTGTGTGTGTGTGTGTGTGTGTATTCATAAATCAGTAACCTTACTCCTTCAATGAATTTGACAGAATCTATAGCAGTTTGCCACCTAGTGGTTCAGTGTTACGTCTGAAGATTTATGACGCTAAAAACCGATGGGCACAGCACAACTAGCACATTGTTCAGCTTTGCTCTTAACAACAAACAATTACACTTCCCGCATTTCACCTTAAACCAGTGGTTCCCAACCTGGGGTCCGCGTAGGAAATGCCATCTCATTAAACAAGTAAGTTTTTTAATACTGATGTTCTTTTTAATTGCACACTCAGTTATATATGTCTTTTATTTGATAGTGAAAAGTGGGAGAACGAGTTAATTATTAGTTAATAAAAACAGTTTGTTGGGTAGCCGGAATCTTACAAAAACGTGGGGTCCATGGGGGAAAAAATGATAATAAAAGGGGTCCTTGGTGGAGCAAAGGTTGGGAACCACTGCCTTAAATTATATAATCAAATAAACTGTGTTGTGATGATCGATAAATGATATTGTAATTTCATTACACCTGAAGCACATACTCACTGCTGTACTTAAATGTGTGTGTGTGTGGCTTCTTACATATTAATATTTTATTTGCGAAGTATTTATTGAACGTAGCCTCTAGAATATTCCGTAACAGTAAAGGAAACACACTGTATTTGTTTCTCAATTCCAGAGAACACTCTAATAAAAAATTATAACATTGATCTTCTGTTCAGATTACCCTAAACCTGTTTCTTCTATGCAAGAGTTTTCATTACTCGGATCGAAAGACAAGTTTTGTTATGCGTATATTTTTAGAAGTTCAAATTTTACATTCCAAAGCTGTACTATTAGTATAAAAGTTAGTGATTTGTGGATTTTGTCTAAGTGTCAGTACTTCCTTCATACACAGCATTTCTATATTTGTTGTTGTTGCATTTTCTAACGCAAACCTACACAGTGGGCTACCTGCATTCAGTACATCGTGGGGAATTAAACCCCGGATGTTAGCACTATAAGTCCGTAAACTTACAGCTGACCCACAATATTTATTGTCAAAACATGTGAAAAAATCCAGTATTCTGTGCAAAATATTTATTTAGTATTTCAAATCAAGGATGATGCTAATAAATAACAAATATGCAGTTGTTAAAAGTACAAATAGATAATGTTTGTTTGTTGTTGTTTTTTTGTTTGAAGTTAAGCACAATGCTACACAATGGGCTATCTGTGCTCTGCCCATCACGAGTATCGAAACCCGGTTTCTAGAGTTGTAAGTCCGCAGACATACCGCTGTGCCACTGGGGGGCAAATAGATAAATGAAATACAAAGTGCTGTGATAAATCATGCATTTTAAATTCAGTGAAGCAACAGTTTCATAAATATCCAAAAACATTCATCACAAGCTCTTTAATCTATACCAGTGGTTTATTTAACGACAGGGAAAAACCTACGGCTAGAAGATAGCTTTTCAATCTAACCAATGTTTTATTTAATGACAGGAAAAAACATACAGCTATAAGATTACTTTTTAATCTATACCAGTGTTTTATTTAATGACAGGAAAAAACATACAGCTATAAGATTACTTTTAAATCTATATCAGTGTTTCATTTAATGACAGTGAAAAACCTACGGCTAGAAGATTACTTTTTAATCTATATCAGTGTTTCATTTAATGACAGTGAAAAACCTACAGCTATAAGATTACTTTTTAATCTATACCAGTTTTATTTAATGACAGTGAAAAACCTACAGCTATAAGATTACTTTTTAATCTATACCAGTTTTATTTAATGACAGTGAAAAACCTACAGCTATAAGATTACTTTTTAATCTATACCAGTATTTTATTTAATGACAGTGAAAAACCTACAGCTATAAATTAACTTGTTACGAATGTGTACGAAGCTAGACCATGTGAGATGTACACATGTATGCGCTCTTATTTATTGTTTTATAAAACCACTATCCGAGTAATATGAGATATCACGTCATTCTCGTTCATCTTATGCTGTATACGCGCGACAAACAACCGATACACCACCTAACTGTTATACATTTTCACCCATAATAAACATTCAGAAAAAACCAGTGTAACCGCGCATAGCACTACAACACCATTACCCAAGTATATGAAGTGTTCGTTGGATATTTGTTGTAAATAAGTACGTGAGGACTATTGTACTTTTATTTTCCATAGAATGCAAACACATAAACATGTTTGTAGGGTAAACACTTGGATTACTTAAACTGACATCTAAGTTTAGTTTCAGGTTTCTTACTCGTTTCGCACGGAATACTTAGACGTTTTAAAAAACAAATTTTGATAAAAGCTTTTAAAAAAAACATTATGTATATAATCACACAAACAATGAAGTTTAGTTGAAAAGACCCCATTAAGTTCGTTCGCTATGGAAACACGAATCTTTAGCAATTACATTGTACTAATGTTATATTTCCTGTACAGATCGAAAAGACGTTATATACATACATATATATATATATATATCAGTGACTCTCAAACTATGGTACACGTCTCACTGGTGGTACATAGGGCTAATGTAGGTGGTACACGAAAGAATTAATGTACAGTTATAGAATCTGTAATACGCCCAATCTGAGCTTCCACTTCTAGATTCGCTTTCCACTTGCCTTGATTTTTGTAGTTAAGCACAGAGCTATACAATGGGCTATCTGTGCTCTGCCCACCACGGGTATCGAAACCCGGTTTCTAGCATTGTAAGCCCGCAGACATGCCGCTGTGCCATTGGGGGTCCACCCACATGCCTAGACTCACCAGTGTTTTCTTTCCTTCAGGTTGACAAAAATTGCAAGATGTATTTTTTTATTTGTGCCATAAAAGATAATCACATCTATTCAACTAATGTTTAAGTGTTAAAATATTCATTTTTGCCACTAGATTTTTTCGTTTTTTTCCCCCCTTAACATTAGGTCTGGATTTGTACTCCAAAAAAGGTTTAAACAAAACGTGGCGAGCTGAAAAGTTTGAGAACCACTGATCTAAAAGAATTTACTCTTTCCAACGTCTCACATTATATAAAGCTGTTTAATGATTTAGTATCTTACTTGTTTAAAATAGTGTAAACTGTATACTTACTTTCTCTTGTCTTCTTTCGATGATACTTCCTCGTGAGTGGTTAATGTTTGGTATAGGTATCACCACAGAAAAAGGAATGTTAATTCCATCCTCTCCATTCGCTACTGATCGACTTGTGTTCGAATTATTATAGTTTCTAGTAAGGGTGTTTGAACACATAATAGGCTTGAATTCAAGAGTTATTTTTTCATCTTGAACAGATAGGGAGGTTCTTACAGATTTCCAGTCTTTGTTTTTTGAATACAGTCCAGTCTTTTGGATATCAGCTTTGGCCTCTCGATAGGGAAGATTGGCTGACGATGAATCACAAGCCTCAGCAGATGGCGAAACCAATAGGTTTAAATGGTGGATAGTCCCACTTTCAAAATCTTTTGAATTATTAGATCTTGATGTCAATCCAATTTTTTCAACCTCTGCTTGAGGAAGAGACACATTACTTTGAAACAAGTCTTCGTCCTTGTAGAGTTCTTTCCAGTGTTCGTCAGCTACTTTATGTTCATTAGAGATACACACCAAAGCGTCTAAAGCTGTGCCATCTGGAGTAACATATTCAACACTATTAATATCCTCATGATGAGATTCGCACTCGATACCGTAATGGTTTGCACCAATTTCCTCTTTAACACTAAAAGCTAAAGGTGAGTTTATTGAAACCTGATCTGGGACTAAATCATCTCGTGAGCGTTGCTCCTCTTTGACTATGTGTTCTGTAAAAGTGTAGTCGACATCGATCCATTCGTCACGTTTATTCGAAACCTTTGATGCATGTTCATCACTGTTGTTAAGGTCTTTACCCACAATCAAATTATCTACATGTTTATCAGATTTTGTGTCAGCATTAAAAATTTGCTTCAAAATAACGTCTTGGTGTTTTTCTTCATTTTTAGAAAATACTGGAGATGTTACAGAAACTGGCGACTTAACCCTGAAACTATCTTGACATTCAGAACGTTCATGAGAAATATTTTTGTTAGGTTTCTTAGAACCAGTTACTACTATTAACTTCTCATTTCTTTTCGCTTCAACTAAATTACCGGTACAATTTTCTGTCAAAGATGGGTAAACGCTTGTCTTTGAAGACTGTGAATCAGGTGATGAAAGTGTATCCATTTTATATATTCTTTTTTATCAAACTTTCTGCTCTGCTGGAAATCGGTATTTTTCAAAGACCTACACTCTCTAGGTTTAACTGTAATTTTGCAAGTAATATTTTCAATACCTATAGTCCCATTTTCATTACTAAAGCTTGTTGTCTTGTCGAAGTTGCTGGTCGATCCCTTTTGTGTAAAGTGTTGGGGTTCTGTTTTTTTCTTGTTTAACTTCTCATAATCAGCTGTACCAGCGTCAAAGTGGTTTTGTAGAAAGATGTAATCCACGTGACTTTTTTTGGAAGCAAAAGTTTCGACATTATTAACAACAGAACAATAACTTTCTTTTATGCCAACATTATGGTCGTCAAACAATGTAGGTGAAGATGGGTCATCGGCCTTTTTCTCGTGTACCAAAAGTCTCGGTACGCCAGAAGATCTTACACTTTCTGTGCAAGAACCCTTAGAACTTTGATCATTACACGATGAATACAAATTTTCTGACGACACACCTCTGTTTGGGAAAGGAAATGACTGAACACTTAATTTCCTCGTATTGGATTCAACACTTTCATCATCTTGATTTATGATATTACTTTTGGGTTTCCAGTTCAAAAATTGTTTGCTATGAGATACTGGGGTGGGAATGTATTGTTCTTTGTCAGTAGCGAAATAAGAACCCACCTTATTTTCTACAGAGCTTTGCACATTACTGAAGATTATGACAGGTTCACTTACTGATGGAGATGAATAACACAGTTCAGCTTCCTTGTGATTATAAGTAAAATTATTTATATCCCTATATAAAGTTTCGTTATTTTCTTGCAACGAAAATTCTGTACCAAAGCAACTAACTTCTGAAGCACTTTTAATATCAAACTTGATTTCTTCCGCTGAAACTACTTGAGCAGTGTTGCTTTTTATATTTCTTACCTGAGTAACGGTATTTTCTTCCGCTGAATCGTTACGTTCAACTGAGCATGGGCCCATATGGCCACAATCAGATAAAGCTTCACTGCATAAAACAGCGTGGTTATTTCTGAATTGAAAAGAAGACCCATTCACATGTTGTTCGTCCGTTAGAAGTCCACTAGCACTGGGTGGCAGGGTATTGAATGTCCAATCCTCATCATGGACTGTGCATGGACGGTTTCTTCGAGGAAAACTACCAGCTGAGGTTTGTGTTTGCAGCTTCCTTGTGTCATGTGAGGAAGGCAAGAACACGAGAGCGCCTGTTCCACATTCTCTCGTGTCGGCATCACTCACTGTTTGTTCTAAACGGCTGTCAGATGTCGGCTTTGTACAGGTGGCGTCATCTTTTGGTGTTATATGAAAAGTGTACTCAGGACACTCGCAGCCTCTCGTGGAAGGAACAGTCTTACAATGGCACGTACCCACTGATTCAACTTTGGCTGGATTGTTGGACGGAACTTCAGAAAGAGAAATGACCTGATTGTCACAAACAACTGTCGAGTTAATATGCTGTCGGCCGCTTCGGTCAAACACTAAATGCTCAATGTTAGTGTAAGCAGGATCGTAGGAGAAATCGTGTACTTTTTTTTTGCTCGACTTCTTCCTGCGTTTAATACCTTCTGCAAGCCGCATTAACTTGTTTCGATTCCTGGTAAGACTGGTCAAGGTAGCCGCATCCACTCTGTTGGAAGTCATCGTAAATGGAGTGGACTAAAGTCACACTCATTGGTAACTAAACAAAAATGAAAGTCGTATTTGGTTATGAATGTCATATAATCTGTATACACGAAAAACGTGAAACCTAGTAACTAAATATACATTACAAAGTGTATTAGAAAAAAGTCTGTCTTAAAACTGGCGTATTTATTTATAAAACAATTTACAATTTGTTTCCACTGCTTCTCTATAGATGGCCTTATTAAATTGTTAACATAAAGTACCGATAACCTTCGCTTTGATATCGAAAACATTATGCCAATTTAGATGCAAAAAACAAGATATAATATAGGTTAGAACAAAAGTTCACAGTCACTCACTGCACGTGACAGAAGACGACGAAGAATTTCAGACTATATTCAGCAAATTGAGGTAGTTATCCAAACTGAGTCAAATACCTAATGTCTATTTTTTCTATCCTTTTATTCACATGATAAGTTAGGCCCGCTTCAATTTTCGAAATACCTCAATATAGTTTGTTTGTTTTTTGTATTTCGCGCAAAGCTACACGAGGGCTATCTGCGCTAGCCGTCCCTAATTTAGCAGTGATAGACTAGAGGGAAGGCAACTAGTAATCACCACCCACCGCCAACTCTTGGGCTACTCTTTTACCAACGAATAGTGGGATTGACGGTCACATTATAACGCCCCCACGGCTGAAAGGGCGAGCATGTTTGGTGTGAGAGGGATTCGAACCCGCGACCCTCAGATTGCGAGTCGAGTGCCTTAACCACCTGGCCATGCCGGGCCCTTTTATAGCTTTGCGTCTAAACACAAAAAATAATCATACATTATGCCAAAACGTCGAGAAGAAAGTGTACGAGAGAATACATTTTAGGCTTCTGAAAGAATGGAACACCGATATGTGAAATAATATACTGTGCATGAGACCACCAAACGATATCGTGAATATGGATAGTGAACATTTAAAAAACGACCAGGCTCATCAAAACTGCTGTCAAACGTGACGTAAGTTCACATGTTAAAACTGCGAAAAGTGGCGTCAACCATAACGTAACAAATTCACAATGACTTCCCACCACCAGTTATAGCCCTTCAGAATGTGAATCTTAACGTGTGCTCATAAATTTTGAAGAGATGCCCTACCAGAATGTAGGTAATCAATTTGACTGTGAATATACTGTGCCATCTGTGAAATATCATATTTGGAGTGTTATGGGATGAACTGCATTCTGCACATGGGCACGGAACCTATCTGTAAAGTTTTTTGCATGTCTAAATGTATATGGCTATAAAGAAATTTAAAACAGACACATCTCAAGGGATATGGCAGGTTTGTTTTTGTGTGTGTGTGTGTCAGCAGGCCAAAGAGTTGTTTCATCATGATAATGGTCTCTGCCACAAATTACACACCACTTATGCCTGATTTAAAGTATTAACATATAAGAAGTTATCCTTACAGAGAATCTTTGGGATTATCTAACGGGGTTTAATGTATCTTTTTTAAGTTGGACCACAACCTTCTAACCATCATGAACTGGCGACGTTTTTGACATAAGAGTGAAAAATAATTGTAATAGACGTTTACCTGAGAAACTAGTAGAAAGCATGTCCAGAATAGCAACTATTGTTCAAGTCAAGAGCAGTGCAATATACGGTGATTTCTAGGGGAATTTCTTTGGACACTTCTGACAAGACATTGTATAAATACGCCTGAACTCAATATTTTCTTCGGTGAAATTAAAAAAAATACAAATAAGATCTTACTGTATTAATTTTATTCAAGCTTTTGACAACATGGACTCTTTTAAGTGCTTAAAATCTCATCAAATATTTACAGTATCAGAGTAGCCATACGTAACCTTTAAAGTATTTTATAAAAAAAGTAGTCATATTGTATAACAGTAAGGTTTAGAAAAAGAAAAAAAATCAACCCCTCAAAAGACGTAATATCTATACAAATCATAAGGAAATTTAGAAAACAAATTATAAGCTCAGTTGACAGGGCCAGTGCTGGAGTTTGAGAAGTAAAGGAAAAACAATCTAATCAAAAAACACCTTAGGTGTGAAAAAAAAAAAAAAGGAGCGGCCAAAAAAGGATTGAGCGTGCGACTTAAAGGAATGAAATCAAAATTGGCAACCAAACTGGTAGTTACACTTATAGCATTGATAAGAATTTTACAACAAATATTCATTCATTAGTTAACCAGGCCACGTTTTTTGTTCAACTTCGGTCATGATAATGGGTAAAACAATACTTGTGTTTTGTGGAAAGCTACGAAGGCTATCAGCCACCGTCCAAAAATTTTGAAATACAGATATAACTGTTTTAACAAGCCTTTTATGTGGAACTTTGTCAAATGCTTTCTGAAAATCCAGATACTCCAAATTCATACTGTCATCTACATAAGCAGCACCTTACCACTACACACACACACACACATAACATTAAAAGACAATAAAGGATCTTTTGGTCCCTCTAGGTCTATCTATTAAATAAAACTAAACACTGAAAAAGTCAAAGCCGGCCCTTATCATTCAAATATTTATCAAGCTTTCCCTTAAACCCCCTTACATTAACTTCATCTACCGCACCTTATCATTCAAATATTTATCAAGCTTTCCCTTAAACCCCCTTACATTAACTTCATCTACCGCATCTGATGGAAACCCGTTCCAAAGGTCAACCATCCTGTTGGAAAAATATAGCTGTCTTAGCTAAAGATTATTCCTACCCTGTCAAAATGTATGTGTATCCTCTAGTCCTATCATTCTCACCATTTAATACGACAAAAGATGATGCATCAGCACTATCAATTAAGTCCCTTAAACAATTTTAAACGCCTCAATCAAATCCCCTCTAACTCTTCTTTTTTCAAGAGAAAACAGGTTTAGAGATCTTAACCTTACTCGTATGCCAACCTTTCCATCACATGTATCATCCTAATAGCCCTCCTCTGAACCTTTCCCAACAATTCAATGTCCTTTCTTAGCTAAGGAGCCATAGTACTCCAAATGTGGTCTAACCAATGACCTATACAATGACATTATTTAGGTTTGTATTCATTATTTCTGTAGATACAACCTAAAATCTCATTTGTCCTGCTACTAGCAACATTACATCGCTTGGATGGTTTAAGAGACAGTGGCATCCTCCTCACAGTCAGCAACACCCAAGACTTTAATGTCATCAGCAAGTTTAAATAATCTATTGACCATTTCTTCATCTAATGTTATTGATGTAAATCAAAACGAACAGAGGTCCTAGCACTAAGCCCTGAGGCAGTGGCGTGCAGAGGTTCTATGATGCCCGGGGCCTTGTACCTAAGACCTTGGGGAAGGGCGGAAAGGGTTCTACTATTCGATTCCACTCTTTGCGTTGGATACCCTCTCGATATGGATGCCCGGGGCCCCGGCACCTTTCGCCCCCCCCCCTCTGCACGCTACTGCCCTGAGGTACCCCACTTGCGACATTATTCTGGATTAACTGAACTCCATTTATAACAATCCTCTGCCTTCTTTCATCTAGCCTGTGTTCTATCCAATGAGCCTATCTATTCCCCACACCTACAGATAAAACTGTTTCAACAAGTCTTTTATGTGGCACTTTGTCAAATGCTTTTTGAAAATCCAGATACACCAAATCCAAACCCATACTCTCATCAACATAAGCAGTAAAAGATTAGTAAGGCAAGATTTTCTCCTAGTGAAACCATGTTGACTATCCAACAACACTTTAAACTTTGTTAAATAACTTTGTAAAACATCTTTTATCAAACTTTTTCAACCATAAATGTAAGACTAATAGGCCTATAGTTACTGGTACAATTTTATCACCTCCCTTGAACAGAGAGAGAGGAGTAATGTTAGACAACTTCTAATTTTCTGCCACCTGTCTACATTTCAAAGACTAAGAAAAATAATAGCAAGTAGCTATTAGCCTCTTTCAAAATCCCTGGGTAAATATTAACTGGCCCAGGAGCTTTGTCATTCTTTAAAAATTCACATTTTTTCCTTAACAAGTTCATAATTAATATAATCGTCTTGTTGAATCTTAGTTTCATCTGGAACTGTTCAGGGTGAGGAATATTGTATAAACCTTCCTTAGTAAAAACTGGAGAAAATGTAGAATTAAACAACCCAGTCATCCCATAATCATCAGATACTAGCCTTCCTGTATCATCTTTCAAAGGCCCTACTCCCATCCTACTCCCTGCTTACCCTTAATTTACTTGAAGAAATCCTCACTATGTATTTTTAAAAATTTCACATACTCTATCTGCGAGGGATAGCAGTCTAGGCTTAATATAAACAAGATTGTAAATTGTAAATGAGAATCCTAAATTTTAAAGGACTTACAACCTATTCTTAACCCCAACGAGTGTTATAAAAGTTAATTATATTAGAAGAGGTGAAAGTTTACATATTTTACAAACGCTTTAATTTTCTTTGTTTCTTATGTGAAAAGCTGCACTGTGGGTTATCTGCGTTTTATCCACCGCAGCTAATCGAACCTCGGATTCTGCGTTGTAAGTAAGCTTACCGCTGACACACCGGGGGGATAAGGCCTTGATTCACTGATGAATTTTATGAAAGGCATACTGTATTACTATTTGAAAATTAACAACACTATTATGAAAAGTCCGTGACTATCTATGATACTGAATATACGTTATTGAAACTTATTTTGAAAGTTTAGCAGTATTACTACGCTGAATCTCTTTTGATATATTGCCATTTTTTAAGCCTTGGCAAGCATTTACAATTATATCTCTATCTTATGAAAATAATATCAAAATATCACCTTATGTTAACAACTCATCAACCCAAAACAAAGTCACAATATAGTGTATAGTTTTCTAAAATAAGAATTCAAATTCAAAATGTTTGGGCTCTGATTAGGCCTAATTAGGGTACACTATGATACAAAGTAGAGATAAATGTTTCTTCATCTCATCTGAAAATGGCTCGTGAAAGAGCCGAAAGCTTTAGCATAGTTTCAGGAGGTGGAGGGTTCTTATCCTATAGAAATACAATAAATAAATACCTATAAAA